ATTTCAATACTCTGGGAAGCTAAGGCAGGAGGATCTCAAGTTCAAGACCAGCCTGAGAAACTTAGAAAGACCCTGTCTCAAAATAAAATTGTTAAGGAGCTGGTGATGTAGCTCAATGCAAAGCCTTCGGGTTTGATCCTCAGTACCACCGCCACCACCACCACCAATAATAATAGTAATAAACAATAGTAATAATAATAATAAAGTTGGGTCCTGTCTTCACCTGTCCTGTTGCCACTGATCAAACCTTTGTCCCCACCTTGTGCTAGGAGTATGCAGATGTGAGAGCCTGACTGAAGTCTGAGCTCACAGTGTCCTAAGAGGGTAATCTGAGGGCATCAGCTCCAAAGACACACTGCAGGGAGCCAGAAGTTCTGCTTCCAGGCACTTTTCCCGTGGATTGACTTACATGCGTCCAGATTTTCACGCTCAGGGTTATTCAGTATGCTTCTTTGGCAATAAACAGATAATGGAAAACTTGCCCCTGCTGCCTGCACCCAGCTCAGGTGAGGGAGCCGGCGTGCCTCTGTCCCTGGTGCGGCCTGCATAGAGAGCGATGGAGGAAAGTCTTGTTTCCACTGGCGGGATGCTGTTAGTAACCCGTGGCACCCTTGTCCCCTGGAGACACATGCAGACATCGTTCAGGGCCCCTTCCTGACTCTCGGCGATGCGCGTGGAGATGATACCAGGCAAGCAGACGAGAGGCAGCAAGAGAGTCTGCACTGGGCTGGCTCGTGAAAGCCGAGAAGACAGGAGCGCGTGCGTATCTACTCATGTGCACGCACACCAGCAGTCCCACAAGAACCTGGAGCAGAACAGCATTGGCTGCCCCCAGGACTGAGCCAGGTGGCTGGGGTAGAAGGGAAGGAGAGTTGAATGTATTTTCTCTGTAATGGCTGATTTGATGTCCTGTATCAGCCCAAAATGTTTATCTTCCACGGTCATTTTAACTTCTGGAAGAGCCAGAAGCTGCCTGGTGCCAGACCCCAGGAATACAATGGGTGAGGGTGCACCATCATTTTGTTTATTAATTTTTTTTATTTATGTACTTACTTATTGAATACAGGGTCTCACTATGCAGTTCACACTCATGGTGATCCTCCTGTCAGCTTCCCCAGTGCAGGGATTATAGGCATGCGCCACCATGTCCAGTTTTGGGGCCAGCACAGTGTGCCCCAGGATTCCAGGGCCAGTGCAGCATGCATTACCAGGGATCTAATTCAGGTCCTTACACTTGCCAGTCAGGTACTTAGACCACTGAGCTATCTTTCCAGCCCTGTCATATTTTTATGAGCCTGCCTTTCCATTGGGCAATACTTGACACCAGCATTCACTGTATTATTTAATCCTGCTCCATAAAGACATAAAAAGGACTTCCAGAACTACTTCAGAAAGCAGCAAGAAAGATGAATATATGTATTCAAAATAAGGGAAATATTTTGAGGGCAGTGTGTCTTTTACTGTAATACTTTTTAAAAAATTTAAACATTCACTGTATATCTGTTCACGATGTGTAGGTGTCGCCCTAAGCCAGTGGCAGTGAGCCTGTGGTACGTGTGCCACAGTGGGCTTTTGTATCATTGAAACTCTGAAGACTTTGCCATCACTGCCCTAAGCTGTGTGGCTGTACTGCTATCAGGTAAATGCAGAAATACAATCACTAAAAGATGAATAAAGATTTTTATATATGCAAAGTGAAGAGATTTTCACTTTCATCTTTGCCAAGATGACTATCTAGTTGTTTCAGCAAAAACAACAAACATGGATCTACATCAAGAGGCAGGGCAGCTGGGAAGATCAGAGGACAAAAATTGTGGCAGTGTGATAGGCCATTGCCCATAATAAAGAAGTGCAGTGGTGCTGAGGTTCATGAGCTTGATTCTTTCCATGACTCTGGTTGCATACCTAGTTGGATGGCAACCAAGTCAAATCCAGTGGTTAGTTTCAATATTGGCCTCATGGAGAAATTTGATTTGCTTCCCATCCATTTTACTTTATGACTAGAATCAGAAAATTGAGTTTGTGAACAGAGGTACCGCTGTAATCTTTCTTGTATGTTTTGCGAGCTTAAAACCACTGCTGCCAGGAGAGACTTTTGGGGATTCTGAGAAGAGGCTGCTTGGGTTAGGGCTGCTAGACCACTGTTTCTGGAGGCAGGGGTGGTTTTGTCTGATAAAGATACTGGTCTAGCTTCTGTGGTGGTTAGACAGCTATGGAGCTCTTCAGATCCATTTTCATAATGAAACAAATACAAGGCCATTGTAGTGAGAAGGGAGCAAAGATGGTTTTTCAGGCAGCTCCAAGGACAGTGAGGTGCTTGGTCCTACACTTTACCTGGGAGTGGGCCCAGGCAAGTTAAGTTGCCATGGCAGCCAGCACTGGGGGTTGGGGTGGGGGTAGCGGTAGACAGAATCAACAAAGAACTGTGTTGTGTAGAGTTAGGCAAAGGAGGGTTCCCTGGTGGGGGCAGGATTAAATCAAGCTGAGTGGTATCCTACAAAAACAGTACCCCTTCTTAGGCTTGGGGCCTTCCAACTTACCATCTTCCCAGTATCGTTTCCTGGCAGTGTGGGTACTAATGACTTTCACCAGCACAGAATGGGCTGCCACCTGCCTTCTCTGTGCCTCCTCTCTCCCCCTGGGACAGTAACAACCCCAGAGAGCTGTGTTCTTAGGTGCTGTGTGCTGCAACAGCTGGTAAAGATGGTCAGCTGGAGATCCAAAGTTGCTGGCTGCTCTGGAAAGTGTAACTCGCCTGTCCCTTGCAGGGAAGCCATCTTTACCATAGCACGGAGGATAAATTTCGCTCTAAAAAGCCACATGGTACCTGAAAGAATACGGAAGTTTAGTATCAGACGTCATTATGTCTTACCTGGATGCCTTTCCTTATGGACGTGAGAACCTAGGCCCAAGGTAACCTTGGATTGGCTCTCCTGGGCACCTCTAACTGCAGCACGTTGTTCTTACAGCTGCGAAGTCAGTGTGGGGCTTCCACTATGTGACACCTGTCTCGGCGCGTTGCTTAGCTGTCTTCAGATTGCCTTACTTGTCTTAGCTGTCTGGCTGTTCCCCAGTGTGTGGACCCCTGCTACTGCACTCCATGATCCCTTCCACATCCATCCTAACAATTAAATGAACAGTGACATTTACAATTTCTGTTAAACTTTCTTATTAATGAAAATTGAACTTATTAAAAGCTTCTAAAAATACCCTGTGAAAAATGATCAAACATTGATGCTACCTGATAGGATAGTGTACTTAGAAGTGTGTCTCCATCATTCCTTGATTTTAGCAGGGAGTAGTAATCACCTGAGGTGAATCAGATTCATGTAAGAACTAGCATTCTAGCAACTTAGCTGCAAAAGAATGAAATGTATTAATGCCAGAATTTGAAAATGTTTTCATGTTTAATAATTTTACATTTAAACACCTTGAAAAGTGTGTTCTATAAATGTATTAGTTCGGTGTTTGTCCTTATTGGTTTTAAAATAAGATGCTCTTTAAAAGACAGTTTGGGATATTTACATGTGTTTGCCACATACAGGAAAGTCGCTTCCATATTTTAAGGGAAACTATGAAGATTCAGGTTGATAGTACCCAGCCTTGGGGGGCAGGAGCGCGCCCCCGTGTGGCTGCTCCCTGGGTGCTGTTTCCAAAAGGCAGCGCGAGATTCACTCTCTTCAAACCAGCAGTTTCAGTTCTGAGACTTTCCCTGAAGGAAAGAAGTAGCCAAGTGTGCAAAAGCGAATGCAGTAGGAAGAGGGCAGCGGCTACTGCCAGTAAGGACTACGCAGGTGCGCCTCCACCTGCAAAAGCTAGCAGAGAGGTTATAGCTCGCGTGTGGCATGGCATGGTATAGTCATTAAAAGTGTTCTGACTGATGCACTTTGTGTCATAGTGTATAATTGTACGTTCAATTTGAATTGTATACATATAAAATGTGTAATCTATGCCACAGCATAATAAAATACGTGTGACATGACCCCATGAAGATAGATGTGTTTATGGGGGTAGGTGCCTGTCTGTGGGGTATGTGTTAGCATGTCTGTGTGTGCACGTGTCTGTATGCATGCACATATGTGTCTATCAATGCATGTCTGTGGCTTTTCACGTATGTAGGGTAGGTAGTGTACATGATAGTGCATGTCAAGTGTGTACGTGAGTCCCTGTGGGTGTATGTGTGATTCTGTGATTGTGTCCTTGGGCATGGATCTGTGGTTCTGTGTGTGCATTTTTCTGTGCGTTCTGTGGTACGTTTCTGGTTCTGTCCCCTTTGTGAATCCATGCTCTGTGTGTGTTGTGCACATATTTGTCTGTGGGGTACATGTCTGCCTGTGTGTACATACACACATACTGTGTATTGTTATAACACATGTGGATCGTGGCTGGCTCTGTGGAGAGGTAGCGTGTGCCCTGTGTATCCATTGGTACACTGGAGCATGCATGAGTCTGTATCTGTGTACTTGTCTGTGGTTCTGTGTGTGTGTGTGTGTGTGTGTGTGTGTGTGTGTGTGTGTGTGTTGGTGCATATGGAGCATGACTGTGTGTCTGGTACATGCTGTTGGCACACATATAGACACAGTTCAAGAAGAGGTTGTGCCAAAGTGTTGAAAGATCCATGGAGTGATAATAAAGGGTGTGTTGTGTGGGCTGTTTATATTTTCTGTTAATTTTTCATGAAATGGTTATACTTTGTATCATTGTGAAAACCCAGATGTTTACATTATAAGTTACTTAATGTGAGTATAAATAATCATAAGATGACTTCTTTGGATTCCTTTTTCCTTACTGAATGTGTAGCTGACCTGCTTTTCCGACAAAATACTTGGCTTGTTAAAATCAGTATATATGACAGTGGTTAGGTTTTATTGAGCCATTACATTTCATGTTTATATTGCATTTCATTGGAGAAGTGGTGCTGATGTAGTCAAGGGAAATAAATATTGGCTTACTTTATGAAATATTTACCAGTACATAGCGTTTCTTTGGTCTCTTTGTAGATGGCAGAGACGTTAGGATCCAGCCACGCCGCCTCTACACTGTGAGTCCGCCCCCGGAGGGCTATGTGCCCTGCTTGCCAGAGCCTGCGAGCTGTGCTGAGTCTGAGAAGGCCTCCAGTGCTGGTGACACAGAAGGTAAGAAGTTAGGGTGGGAAGAAAAGCGGACTCGTGCAGCAGGTAGATCATTCATCGCTTTCTGTTGTTGTAAACTGATGATCTCAGTTTAGAAGAGGGGTATGAGTAAGCTACAGATGCTTATGAAAAACTCATACACTAGAAAAATACTTAACATGAGGGAACTTAAATTTGGAATATTATTATGACCCTATTTGTTTATGCATTAGAAGCCTGGAATTAAATACATCAAAATGTTAGCAGTATTTGTCTTCATTTGGGGAATATTTTTCTTGATTTTATAAATTTTTCAAGTTTCTGAAAATTTTATAATCAAGGAGTTAACTTCTTTTTTTTTTTTTTTTTTTTTTTTGGTCTTTTGGGAAAACGTTATTCTGTTATAATTGCATCTGTTGCCCTTGAAGCAGGTCCCTGAGGAGGGGCAGCTATTGATGGTGACATCCTATTTTTACCTTACAAATGAAATGCTTTTCTCTTGAAGCTGACCATTTGAAAATTTCCTTAAGAATTAAAAATCTTCAAATAGGAATTTTCCCTGGCTGATTTTTAGCAAGTATAAACTAAAGAAATCTAGACCTAGACCATGAACCTTAATTTGAATATCAAGAAAATGTAGTTTTCTAGCAAAAAAATGAGATAACTAAGAATTTATTCACCTTTGAATCCCTATAAAAATATTTGAAATATAATTATCAGATAAATAATTGAACTAAAATTTAACTGTTAGGAAGATAAATTATTTTGTTGAGTATTTTTCATTGTGTACTTAGTGTGTTCAGTAAGAAAACCCATTGGATTCTCTCATATGTTGTTGCATACTGTTCTCACATACGGATCCTGTGTCTAATGAATTCACTATGTGCCTTCGAATACAGTTGGTTCATTCACCTGCCCAAGTATGCAGTTGGCTTATCTGCTGTTGTCCGAACTGTGGTGTACACAGTCAGCTCTTGCTCACGCTCTGGTGAATGCAGTTGACTTATGTGTACACAGCCGCCTGTGGGGTGCACGCCTGGCTGTCTCTCGCCCTGTTGTCCCTGCAGACAGGCTGTGTGAGTGGCTTGATGGAGAAAGCCTCGGTTTGCCTCCAGCAGACAGTACTTCCCACACATCGCCCTCAGCAGTGCCCTCCACTGGTGGGACGAAGCTGGGGTGAAATGCTTACAGGAAAGGGAAAGACGTTCATGCCAAGTGAACATGTGTTTGTCTTACAGAGGTTGTTGTGTGAAGATTCAGTGTCTCTGCACTCTTTGGTAGCTGTTCCCCTTCCATGGCCTGTGCCCAACTGCTCCAGACAGTCCCGTCTAATTGCCCTGGAAAGAGAAATTCAGTGCCTGACATTCATTTTTAAATGATAATGGCAAATTCAATGGTTATGATATCATTGAATACAACATCATTGCAAGTTACATTTTTAGAAGTAAATAATGAGGCAAAAGGTTTGTATTAATTCATTTTCTTCTTTATTTCCTGGCTATTGGAATCTTCTGTAAAACTGTAGGTGAAGGTCTCTGCCAGGGAGTGGGTGAGCCAGGGTCATGAGGGTCAGCAGCAGGCCAGGCCCTTGTCCGTGGTGATCTAAGACGGGACAGCTGCTGTGACCTGCGTCCCCCCTGCGTGTTCACATCACTTGGCACTGTCCACAGGGTGGACATGGTAGCACTTGATAGATAATAACTAGAGAGTGTTTCAGGACCTGGGCAGCCAGCATCTGCCCTGTGCAGGGCTCCGCCAAGAAGTCCTGATGGTTCTGATACATCAGGGTGCACTGAAAACGTTTACCTAGTTTTTTATAACATCTCTGAAACTGAACTTAGTAAAAGGCTAAAGATTTATATGATCTGAAGAGAAACCAGAGTGTGAAACTGAACTTAGGAGCCTGGTTTTTTGTTGTTGTTGTTTTTGGGTTTTTTGGAGGGGGGGAGCGGAACTGGGGATTGAACTCAGGCCCTTGCGCTTGCCAGGCAAGCACTTATTCTACTGAGCTATCTCTGTGGCCCCCAAAACTGAACTTAGAAATCAAAGTTAGACTGGGAGGTTGCTGTCTCTCAAGTTTGAAAGCTTATAATTCATGTGGAAATGTCCTGATTTACTTTTTTATTTTTTACTGTTTATTATTTTTTATTCAAAACTCCATGAAATGAGCCACTGAAGGGCATGCAAAATGATGTGGTTGTAGAAAAGGTATGATCACCACTGCTCACTCATTTCCAACATGCTTGAGTGCAGTAGTCAGGGTTTGCACAGGAATAGATGTAATAGAGGACAGAGAAGTTATATGATTGTTTTATAATATTTACCGAAAAGTCAGATGGAGAGTAGTACAGGAGATCTGTCCATGTGCTAGAGACCCGAGGACTCCAGCAGAGGCCCTGGGTCCCGTGGCAATGTCCTGTATGCGTCTGACGGAAGACCTCGAGCCCATAGCAGTGCCCTCCACTAGTCCAGCTAGAGGCCTAGAGCTCGTAACAGTGTCTCATGAAAGTCCGTATCAGGGATCTGCACTGGGAAGGCCCAAAGGTCAGTGGTGGAACCTGGAGGATCTGTGCTAGTGTGGCGAATGATCTGTGCTATCAGACCGAGGGATCTGCTCTGGAACTGTGAAACAAACCTCAAGGTAAGGACTAGAGGTCCCCTGAAGAGAACTGCAGCCATCCTCCCAGCGAGAATCCAAGCTCCTCTGACTGTGAGAACAACTGAGTTCCTATCAGGAAAACCAGAATGACAAGCTTCTGCAGCAACATGCCATCTTCCCTCTAGTTCTCCTTTTGTACTATTAGTGCCAGTCCTCAGTTGGGTCTTCCTCACCCAGAATCATGCTGACTCAGTTCACGATGGCTGTGCAGGTTGCCCTTTAGTGAATTCACCACAAGTGTGTAGCGAGTTCTGCGGCAAACTGCATCAGCCTGCGATTGGATCAGATGACCCACCCTGTACCTACTATCTTCCAGGACCCCGAGGCCTTCAGGGGTATTATAGGAGCTGTGGCAGAAAGAAGCAGGTCCACTGCAGGAACAAGGCATAGCGATGTCGAATGAAAGAGAAGGAAGAGCTTTGAAGTTTCTTTAGCTGCAATTGTTTAAAGAAACAGAACACAAGGCTAACATTGGCAAAGAAGAAAAGGTCTGATCCCCCCCTTTTTTTTCTTTTTTCTTTTTTCTTTGTTTTGCTAATGTATTTAGTACTGGCTCAGCACATCCCTGGGCAGGGCCAGCATGGAATGTCGCCTCTTTTCAAAGAAGCACTTCCAGTTGTTGGACCTAGCTCCTATTTACTTTTGCTGCCACTGTGTGTGCCAGTCCCTTCCCAGCTGCCTGACGTTTGTGGTGCTGAGATTCAGTCCCTCCTCATCTCCAGGAAGCTGCCCCCGAACTCTGCGTTTGGGCCCCTTTGTAACAGCACTTGATAGATGACCTGTCTTTGCATCTGTCCTTTAGCTCTGTTAGACTGGAGCCACGTTCTTTGTCTTGTCACTCCTAGTTCCTGGCCCAGTGCCTTGTGAAAAGTCGGAATTTCATTGTTATTGACCATATCAATTAGTGCTCCAGGCTCTGTGGATAATGATAATAAAGACAGGCCCCAGGTATTACTCCTGTGTCTCACTCTATGTCCTGCCTCTGTGTGGTTCTTTGGAGAAGGTGTGATTGTAAATCTCTGGGTTTCTTTGGGGAATCTCCAGAAGTTCTTTGAAGCTTGTGGTTTGCTAGGAATAGGCAGGAGAAGCTCTAGAAAAAAGAAGTGGGTTGTTAAACATAGGTGCAATTTTAGGAGGCATAGTGTGGATTTGTCCTGGGACCTCTCACCACCAAGCTGTGGGATAAATCACGGCACAGGTGAGAGGAGCGCCTTCTCCTCCCTCCAAAGGCCGCACTTCTTTTATTCTCTTAATGTGGCTGCATGCTGTTATCCTGGAGCTGGAAAACTTTAGTCATATTCCTTGCAGAATACCCTCTTACACTGTGCTGGAAGAAAGCCTTCCTTGCTGGCAGTTTCCATGGCAAGTGCTACCCTGTGTTCTCTAGAACACGAACTCCTAACTGGGAAGCACTCTGCTGACCACATCGCGCTGTCCTGTAGGTTGCCACCCCACACGATGTTATGTAACCCACTGTGCCAACGCTACAGTGTCTGGGAGGCAGTCAGGATCACAAGTGGTGTTAAATTTCTTTCTATATCTGTGTCCGTATAGCCAGTTACTGTTCCTCATACTGCTTCTGCTCCACATTTGTTAAACACATACGAATTGCTGAACCAAGAATTCAGCTTTGCAGCAGCTAGCAACAAGCCACCTTCTGTCTCCTTAGAAACAGAGTCGTAGCTATGGTCTCTAATTTCAATTTCTGCTCTCTAGTGAACCTCAGGCAAGCGTGGAGACTGATGTGTCTTGTGTGTGCATTCTTGGAACGTTGGTGATCTTGATACAAAGTTTGGAGAATATGACCTGATTCGTAATGCATCTGTCAGGGCCACCCTTTTCTGTGCTTGAATCTCCTTATACCTCAGTTAAACAGCTCTTCCTAGGCACATCTTCCCTTTCCCCTTTCTGATTTCAAATACCTTCTCTTTGTTCTATAAGTAAGAATGTGTCACTTGAAAGAAATAAACTGGCATATGGTTGTCAGGATGATTCTCCCGGAGTTGACCCCCCAGCCCATTGGTAGCTGCGGCTTCAGTGGAAGTCACCTGAGGGAGAGTGCACGGCTCTGTGTGCCAGGTGCCAGGCCAAGCCCGAGAACCTCTACACAGAACAGGAACCTGGACTCTTTAAGCTAAAAAAAGTCTTTAGGAAATAGGACCCTTCTTTTTCTATATGCTTTAATCTTTGATTTTTTTTCTTCCTAAAAAGAATTTTGTTCTTCTTAACCACAAAATTCTTTATGTATATTTTTTTAAAAAATTTAATCTTTTATATATTTGGTACAAGGCCTCGTTTTGCATCTCTGACTCATACATAGTGAGCCTCCTGTCTCAGCCTCCCCAGTGCTGGGGTTACAGACATA